AACATACCTAACCAGCATATGCTGTTTTTTCAAAAGGGAAAGCAATTTATACATTTACAGCAAAATCAGAGTACAGGCAGTTTTAGCTTCAAATTAAAAATAATATAATCATCAATTACAAAATTACATTAGCCTATTTGAACAATATTATTAGCTGATGCTAACTAGCTACTTGATGCTAACTTGCGGTCATTTTTTAAATATAAAGTCCAAATATTTTTATTCAACCACCTAGATAGAGTACATTTGATGGAAAAACAAAGGATTTGATGTTAAAGCAATTTATACATTTACAGCAAAATCAGAGTACAGGCAGTTTTAGCTTCAAATTAAAAATAATATAATCATCAATTACAAAATTACATTAGCCTATTTGAACAATATTATTAGCTGATGCTAACTAGCTACTTGATGCTAACTTGCGGTCATTTTTTAAATATAAAGTCCAAATATTTTTATTCAACCACCTAGATAGAGTACATTTGATGGAAAAACAAAGGATTTGATGTTCAGGACAGAGTAACTATGCCCTGGGGGCGTTTTACCCCACAGATTCGAAAAATTATGTCATTCTGAAAATATAATAATATTTCAATCATGACAACTCTCGGAACATTTTAGCATGGTGATGGATATGACAATGTTAATGTATTTGGTCTTGGCGGAACAGATCTGCTACGCTGCTGCTGAATTGCTGCTGCTGTGAGAAGGGTCTGGCTGCAGCTGGCGCTTGCACTCTCAGACGTGCATTCTCAGACGTGCACTCTCAGACGTGCATTCTCAGACGTGCACTCTCAGACGTGCATTCTCAGACGTGCACTCTCAGACGTGCATTCTCAGACGTGCACTCTCAGACGTGCATTCTCAGACGTGCACTCTCAGACGTGCATTCTCAGACGTGCACTCTCAGACGTGCATTCTCAGACGTGCACTCTCAGACGTGCATTCTCAGACGTGCACTCTCAGACGTGCATTCTCAGACGTGCACTCTCAGACGTGCATTCTCAGACGTGCACTCTCAGACGTGCATTCTCAGACGTGCACTCTCAGACGTGCA